TAATGTAATGGCAGAGAAGAAAATCACGTTACGCAGTTTGCCGGGGAATTGAGGTGAATCGCAAACTACTCCGAGGAAACGAAACGGCCAATTCCATCAAATATAAATTCCACGGGAATAAAACCATTTGGTGTTTTTCATTTATTTTTGTATTACGTCCATCCTCAACTTGTCGATATATTTTCAAGTCGAGATAGGAATTTCAGTGTTTGCCGCGATTCGCCGAATCGAGACGTATCCACAAAGCCAATGCTCGTGGAATCTCCTGTTCCGGAAATGCAACGGGACTTTGTAGCTCGTAATTTGCAATACCTTCACCTCGTGGATCGAACAGAAACAAACCGCCGATGATTTTATTACAAGGGATGATCACAAATGGAGTGACTAGTGAAAATTGTGTCAGTTGTGAGATAACCTAGCCACGTGCAGAAAGCTCAGTTAATTTCAGACCTAGCCTTTAAACCTAAGTTTTAATTCACAAATAAATTTTTTCTTAATTATTCGGAGATCGTGAGATGCGGTCTGATGTGACGTAGGATTTATAAAAACATTTGCTTTATCGTGCGAACGTTTCGATCTTTATTGAGACCATCTTCAGGGCCCAAAGTGTTTGTTTTCTGTGTTGATGTGTCATTATCGGGTTTTGCCATTGACACATCAACCCAGAAAACAAACACTTTAAGCCCTGAAGATGATCTCAATAAAGATCGAAACGTTGGCACGAAATGTTTTGCTAAAACCTACGTCACACCAGGCCGCATCTTACAATCTCCGAATTTCAACTGTGTATTTCAACTTAGTTGAGTACTTATATGTACTTAATAATCATCAATGTACCGCATTAATTATTTTAATTATTTATACTTTTAAACTAATGTCTTGGTTAAGACGAAAAGCTAATGTGGAGAATCGAATCCTGCTTACACTATATTCGAAAATAGGGCAAAAATTAGGAAAAATTCGAAAGGCTATAGTAGAGATGATGAGTTGGGGGTTCTAATGGATGGAAGTCACGTTAGCTCATGTGGCTAGAGCAGCGGCGTAATTAGACGAAGGTTCAAATCCATTTCGTGACATTATCTTTTTCATTTTGACCAAAACCTTAGATTAAAAGTATAATTAATTAAATTAATAGAATACTCTTACTGAAAGAGAAGAAGAAAATAAATTTCATTCTGAGGCTTTGGGCCCCCTTGCATAACAAAAAGTACAAAATTTTGCACAATTCCTGTCAAAATGAATGTATAAATGAAGATTTGAATGTAATAGCTAAAAAAATAAATGATACGTACTAAATTAAATAAGGGGAAAAACAACAGAAAATTAACCACACTCGTTGTTAAATTGTAGGGACAGGAGGAAGTCAAAATGACAGGAATTAAAGGTGGAAACGGTTGAGACGTAGCGAATGGAATTCAGTAGGAACGGATAAATAAGGAAGAAAGATTAAAAGCGATGGATTTGTATGATAGGGGATGGGATCAGAAAGGCGGGAACGAGTGTTGCGAGGGTGAATAGAACAGAATATAAATATAGGAAAGGGAATGGGAAGAAATTGTTTAATAGAGGAAGGAGCCAAGAAAGTACAGCCTGAGGTAAGAGGGATAAGCCATTTCAAATTAAGATACATATTAGACACACGAGATCTTTTTGGGGAGCTAAAGATGAGCCGAAGAAAGCAGCTCATGATTCTCTTCAGTTTGTTAACGCAGGTGAGTCCACCGTAAACCAAACAGCCTTATCGAAATGGTGAAGCACAAGGGAGGTCAGGAGTATGAAAGTGCAGATTGGGAAGAGTAGGCTTGCACGACGGAATTGGCGAAGAGTAGAGGAACATCGGCGGGTAATTTGGGAAATGTGGGGTTTCCACGATAGGGTTTGATCAAGGATGATCACAAGGCTTTTGACGGATGAATAAAAGGAGGACAGTTGGTTCTTAAGACATATAGGAGGAATAGGAGGCAAGGATTGCAGAAGGGGATGGGATCCAAACACTATAGCCTTGGACTGATTGGTATTGAGATAGAGTCAATTTTCAACAGCTGATGCCATTTGGGTCCTCTTGGTTTCGTGTGATTAAGATTTGAAGATCACGAGGTGAAAAGGAGAGCTAGACTTGGAAGCCTGTTACAACAACTCTTTTAGTATAAAAATAAAAGATATTTTCATGGGAATTCAATTTCTACGGCGATGATGTACAAATCGTATGGGTGTTTTTATCACACCTTCGAAATTAACATATTGCAAATTAATATTTGAAGTTTGACGTCACGGTTATGGGTCTGACTTGGTATTTTATTTGGGGGAAAAAATGATATTATTGCGGTCTCGTCCTATGGGTATTTGGTAAATTGACCATCCAGTAAAACATAAAATTCACGTAAACGGGGAAATGGGCGTGGGGAAATGCGGGCCAACAACTGATGGTACCGTATTACAACAATATTAGATGTTCATAATATATACATTATTTCAGTGTGTGAAATTGGAATCATATACAAGGAATTGGGAAGGTATGGATGAGTTTCTATCTCCAAAGTTTTGTTTTGTCTTACTATACTATCGGCTAATTTTTTACTTATATTTATAAAATGTTTATTCAAAGTATTAGAAATTCCATTCTTGGTTAAGTTTTCTCCTTTGACATTTCCGAAACTTCAAATGGTCATTGATTTAATCTTTTTTTATTTAAGGTTTCAAATTTTTTAAAAGGTTTTTCATCACCTTTCCACTCTCCCGACTATATTGTTTTGCATAATAAGTCCATGGCTTTGTTCAATAAGTCCATTATGTCCTATTTTTATGTTGAAGCACTCTGAAGAGAGATTAATTACGGTTTTTTATGCGTCAATTTCGTTAGATTTGGTAGATAAATGGAAGATTTGGTACTTTTATAAGGTTCTTTGCTAATTTAAAACGTAAAATCAAATAGTGTATTTTCGTCATTTGGCTGGCGTCCCTTTTGTCGTAAAGGGAAAACTGTAGGACAGATTACTAGGCAAATTTGTGTCGTATATTTAGACGATGCTTTAAGAGACAGGTTATGGTGATCCTTTTATTGTTTGCATGGTTCAAACGTGGAAAGTTTGATTTAGAATGCACAAAGCGCTCGGGTCCTTAATGATGACCAAATTCGAAATTTCGTTACATAACATGCATTCAACGACACGAAACATTGCAAATATATTTAACGTATCTTATACAAGCGTTTCAATGCATCTAAGACATGTTTGTCTGAGCAACAAACGGGTTTCTCACATGTCTCAACAGAAAATTTCGGGCCACATCTCCATCAGACATTCTCTCTTAAAATGCAATATAAACAATTTAGTTTTAATACGAGTAATAACTAGGGATGACAAGTGGCCCCATATAACAATTGTCAGACAGGAACATCCTGGATAAAACGCAACGATCCACCGTTAGCAACTCCAAAAGCCGGATTACAGCTAAAGAAAGTAAGGTAGGCATTTTGTGGGATTGGAAGGTGTGTTTTTGTCATATCAACCCTCGGAGTGCCGGTTGGTTAATTTTTTTTTATGTGTGTTGGGTTCGAACCCGATTTCGGCCCTGACGCCCCTTGTTACTGTTGGATTCTTTGTTAATAACTTATTAGCTTCTTCCACCAGAGCAAACTTTCAATTCCAATTTATACTGCACAAGACTGGATCGAATAAAGATAGCAATTGACCAAAAGCGACTGTCATTGGCTAATCGCAAAAGTTTTATACTCAGGTAACGCTCGTCCCCAAGTGTCTTTGCAGACGTGCCAGAAATTGTCGGAGCTTGGGCTAAGATGTGCTACCCCAATGACCGTATTTGAATGGTAACACCACTTGAGATTTTCAATTATTTCGGACTATGATAAAATTAATGGCTGAAATGTGTGGTGGTTAGTGACCAAATTACAAAACTATTTTATCAGCTCCTAGGGTCCATTTTGCAAAAATGCTCTAGTATTCTAGCCTAATATTACATTATTATATATAATATTATTGTGTGGTGATTAGTGACTGTTAATCGATAATTATTCAGAAATCGTGATATGCGGTCTGGTGTGATGTAGTTTTCAAAAAAACATTTTCTTTATCGTGCCAACGTTTCGATCTTTATTGAGACTATCTTCAGGGCCTGGGATTTACAAACATTGTTTACATTTAATTTTTTTCCACATCCTACATGTTAAATGTAAACAATATTTGTAAATCCCAGGCCCTGAAGATGATCTCAATAAAGATCGAAACGTTGGCACGGTAAAGAAAATGTTTTTCTGAAACCTACATCACACCAGACCGCATCTCTCGATTTCTGAATAATTAATGGCTGACTTGAATGCTGCACAAACCGAGACGTTCATAGTTCAAAAGCCTGAGAAGTTCAGGGAGAAGGAAATTACAAAATTTCAAGGAGAAAATAGTGGAAAAAATGTTTTATATATTGCTGATTAAATTTTTTTTACGAACACCTAAAATTCTCATTGAAATTACTATAAAAAAACGCTACGTACATATTTTACAACCGGATACTATACTTTTCTACATTTCTACTGTTATTTGTTGTTTGTTATTTATGTTACAGCTTTACTTAAATACTTATGCTATAAAAATAAATTTGTTATAGCTTTACAATAAATGACGATATAATTAAAGTGCACGGGAAAAAGTCTAATATATCAAAAAGCAAATTAAAAATATTGTCTTATCATGGGTAAAAAATTGTCATGTCTAAATATAACACAAAAAGGTTTTAACAAATATAAGATAGGACTCACTGAATATCCAAAACATTACCTATAAAACCTTAACAGACGATAATAACATAAAAATATTGTTCGCCAAAAAAATAAAAAATAAATAAATAAAAATAAAACCTTCTATGTACGTCGTAATTGAAAATGTTTTAAATACTCTGTTATTTTAACTTTAAAAAATATATATTTGTCCCTTTTTTTTATAAAAATAATATACAGCTAAAATAATCCATGTTTGTGTTTTTTTCAGGAGTGCTTCCGATGCGTTAAGTTCCCAAAGGTATGTAATTTTATTTACTGTTCAATTCTAATTCAATTTGTACGCCGATTATTTATTTATATTTAATTTTCTTTGGCATGTTTGTCACTTGACTGTTGGAAAATCCATAATTTAATATCGGGATAAAAGGTAAGTAAAAGTAGGAAAGGCACCCGATACTTGCCTCTCCTTATTATTGCGTCCTACTTCAACCTTCTTTTTTGATTACGAGAGTATTTTTCTACGAATAAAGTACGATTTTAAGTTAATTCTTCATTAGACAATTGTTTTTGTAAAAATAAACCTTTCTCGTTAATCTTGTAATCTTCCACAAACTTTATACAATAATACTTCAAGGGGGCGTCGGTGGCCGCAACGGTTTAGGGCGTTGACACGGCGCTCATCACTGTAAAGTAAAGGTCCCGGGTTCGAATGCAGGGCCACTGGGCTTACTTACAAATGGGCTTTTTTTTCAAAAACACCGGCACCCTGAGGGTTGATATAACCTCAGTTTTAGCGAACCCTCGTTATCGAAATAAAGGGGTGGGCCATCATTTGTTACAAAAAGCTTCTTTTTTCTTTTTTTAGCGTAGAATACGAAAATAATGTACAGGATCATATTAACCCAGATTTGATGAATAAAATGTTACAAAAACCAAAAGACGCTTCCAATTAACTACGTTTGAAACAATATTTTTTGAAAAACAAAAACTATTCTAATTCATCTAGAGTTGATTGAATGTATAGTATATATCATTTTTATGGCCTTCTGTATTTGTTGGACATGTATTTCAGGATTATTAAATATCTGTTGATTTTTCTTTGTAACGATATGAAAATAATATTCGCAGGATCATGTTAAATGAGATTTGACGTATCAAAAGTTAGAAACTTCTACACCAAAAGACGCTTCCAATAAAGTAGGCTTGAAACATTATTTTTAAAAACATAGTATTATGTTTTAATTAGCCTTCAAAGCTCTAAAATTCGAATTAGTATAGCAAACAGAAAAATAGAAATTTTTGGGTAAGATTCCCCGGGGCCACATTTATTTAGCTGTCTTCTTGCAAAATGGGTCGTAAAAGTCGAGAAAGTTAGAGATTTATTTTTTGGTTTTCTGCCTTTTTGCTCCATTTATTGTTCATGTATTTCAAGGTTATTATAAAGAAGTCGATTTGTTCTTGGGGCCTATTCGCATGACACGTTTCTAAAAATTTTCGAACTACTTTTAATTAAATATATATATAACATTGGTGCCTCCACAATCCCGTAGCTTTCCGTTATTACAACCAAATAATTGATTTTGGATTCAAAACGACAACTGTAATCGATAAGGGTTATTATTTAAAATTAACATTAACTTAAAACACAAACTACACACATTTAACAAAAGCTCCCATCGCTAACTATTGTTTAGAAGGAGGCGGAGCATTAAAATGTTTATGTGTTATGTGCTTATAACTGCCATTCGAACCCGACATACTTACAAATGGGCTTTTTTCAAAAACACCGGCATCCCGAGGGTTTATATGACCTCGCTGTTGCGAATCCCGCTGTTGCGAAATAAAAAAAAATTCAAATATCTTTTTACAATAAATCGATGTGATGTATGTTGCATATCTGAATTTATGTTTACAAGCTTGGAAGAAATCTATTAAAGCACAAATAGGTGTAATATGTAAATAATTTTTAAAACATCCAAATTCTGCTTTGTTTGGAAGCGGTTTTATAGATTTCCCACGTTTAGAGTTTTGATATTGTATCTGAGATTTTATTAAAAATTAGTTGTGTACAAAGTTATAATTACTATTTCGAATATATAATTTTAAATGAACTGTTAGCTGCTGAAGCAATACGGTAAAACAATGTACCTCTATTGAATATTGCAATGACATCAGTTTAATAGTATATATATTAGAAACGTTCTGAAACAGTTGGAAAATGATCACCATTCGATAATTCTCTGAAATGACGTAAAAAATACAGCTGTTTGCTGAAATCCTGTAATACGAAATTGATCCTTTATCGAAGTCCAGAATGTATGTCAGTTTTGAGTGTATACCCTCCGGGTGGATGGCAAACAAAGAGTTATTAAATTAAACCGCATTCCCCTTTGATCTCTGCGGCCTCGGAAAGTCAGAAATCGAGTTTGTTAACACTTCCTACTAGCGGATGCCAGATTGAACGATGAAATTCGAAAGACCGACTAACTAGGAACATTAACAATACCTAAATAGTACAATTGTCTCTTTGACTAATGGATTATTCGGTGTAAATTCCTTCCGTTAACGATAAGCCGATGACTGATAACTGGTTTATAGAACGAGATTTATCGACTAAATTGAAAAGTGTATTTTTAGCATACACTTGAAATTAATTTTGTTTATACAGTGCTAAATAAAATACTGAAGCTTCCGTCTTCACTTCTGGTAATCTATTTTCTGACCCAAGGGGTATCGAAACAAAACACCGCTTTTGAACTATTTATTTTCTGAGGAAGCCAATATCAAGATGTTTGGAACGTAAATGTTTTCTAGCGGTTAGTAAAAGGCTGTTTCGCTGTATCGAGAAACCCACTCTAAGTTTGACGCACGTGAAGGAAATCAGGGGCAGGGGAAGGGATTAAAGGAGGTATGGCTGGAAAAGCGATTTGCCTTTCATTTGATCTTGCCCTTCAACGTCGAGACGCTTGGTACCGACTTAATAAACCTTATCGTTTATTTTCGTACGAAATTTTCTTTATACATAAGGATATGGCTCATTGTAAAACATTCGGTGACTGGTAATTGAAAAAAATAAAGGAGAAAAGGAAATATCTTGTTTTGGGAGAGAGGCAAAAAGAGGCACTATTTTGAGGAAAGGTTGAGCTCTATAGATACGGCCATACTTTAGGTTAATAATTTATCTTAAGTTTTTTATCTTGTCAATTTCAAATTCAAGCCGGCTTTTTTTAAAATCATTATATTAATTCTAGGTATTGATAGTTTGGCGTTATTCATCGAGCTTTCAACGTCATGAGGCCACCAATTCGAACTTCTTTTCCATTGACCCAAAATAATTCAACTATTTTCATTTGCCAATTACGTTCCCCGATTTAAGTTAAGTTGAAGTTCTCAGCCAAGTGCAATCGAGTCAACAATATAATAACAGTCTTATGGAGGAGGAAAACGACTTGAAAGAGAATGTTTTCCTCTCAATAGGTATTTTGTTTGGTCGTGAAAATGTAAAAATAACTGCTTCGTTCTCTATAATACGTCCACAGTAAAAGAATTCCTTTAAAAAGCTCAAGAACTTATTCTATCTAATGTTCGCCTTTATAAATTTGCAACTGGAACGATATTGTTACACTATTTAACAGACAAAAACAAGTAAAGCGCATAATTTTACATTATTCTAAAACATCATTACATTTTAAGACAACATTTTTACACTTTTATTATAAAATAATTTTAAATCAAAATAACTAAACACAACCTAAATATAATTAATTGTTGGGTGATTTCTTGAACCATTCCAATCAATTAATTTTATATTTCTGGCTATTTATTTCAGGCCATAATTCTTATTATATATATTTCTGAGAACTTTAGAACCTTTTACTTGCTTAACTTCTTTTATCCTATTTTGAATTTAGATTTACATCTATTATTATTTTTCTGTCTATATTTTTAATTGCCCTCACACAATGCATTCTATAAACAGGGTAAAGCATTTTTCGACCGCCAGGGGAAAAGAAATGCAACACATGGACTATCAAGTCACCTCTATCTGGCTATGCCAATAGTTCTAGTATATGTAGAAACATTCGTTGTACAGAGACTCGGACTGAGAAATGACCCATTGGGTCTGTTGAGCCAATGAGCCCAAAATGTACAAAAAAAAATATTTGTGACTTGGAACTTTTGGGTGTTCTTTTCTCCACCAACCATCTAAATACAGTTTCTAAAACATGTTTGTACAATGTGCAGCAATTGGTACAGATGTTTCTGAACGTTCTTTGTCTCCCAGATTTTCCGTACTTATGGCCAAATTTTAAATCTTAACAAAAAAAAAGCTTTAAAAAATTCAAGTTGATATTGTTAAAACCTGTTAGCCGAATAGTAAAGATCAAAAAACTACAAACAATGCAAAAAAAAAAATTACCAAATATTAAAAAATAAATATAATTAAGGGAAATGTGATTAAACAACAGGTTACTGGTTATGTTGAATTTTGTATTAAAAGTTCTTTTGCATAAAACATCATGAATGGATAAACCCGAAGGTATTTGCTTAGCTTTTTTTTATACACATTTGTCCCCGCTATTCATTTAATTTCTTTTACCTTGCTCCCAAAATATCCTGGATAAATTGTTAACACAAAAGGTAAAATTTTAACAAACAAAGTCCACATTACTCACTGCTTGCACGTGAAAGCTTGGATGACGAAATTTCCTGATATTGATTAGCTAGCTAGCAATATGTGGAACAGTAACTTTCCATTTCTGAGGATTTTTCACTCAGTTAATCCTCGCCGATACATGATTCATGAGATCAATTGAATAAACCGATTATGAAATGATTTAGTCAAATCCACTTCAGAAATAACACAAGAACACTCGAATATCATTTTGAGCGTAGGTATTTTTATAACGGATTCGTACCTTGTATTTAGTACCTCATCCTGATTATCCGTGAAAATGAAAAATATGGGCTATCGATGAATCAATGCGTAAATAATACAGGGCGATGATCTATTACTGTGGAAGGTAACGCTCCGGCGGACCGGAAGACCCAAATATTATCTCTGGTGTCTGGTAAAATCTAACATTACTTGCTTCACACGTGAGAACTCGATAAACTTGCTTATGTGAATAATACTAATAATAAATAATATATCAACACATAAACTCAAAATATAAATAATTTTCAAATCAAATGAACTTGGGAAGATGTATAGGCTTCACGACGGAAATAGACTTTTGCTTTAGGAATTACTGGAAGTCAACTGCGTCAGAAAGCTGACGCCTTTGCTTGGTTATT